GGCAAATCTGAGGCCGAGTATCAACGTCTATTTACAGCTATTCATGAGGGTTGGGACGCCATTAGGCAAGAAGCTATTGATGCTTTGATCAAGAGCATGGATACCCGTATAAATGCAGTGATCAGGGCCAAGGGATGGTACACCCGCTTCTGATATCTAGTCGCCTATTTAGGAAATTAGTATTATTCGAAAAAGCAGATTTTAACGTATCATTTAATTGATTCTTATAGGATTCCAATAAATACCGGGCGTACAGTAGTAATTTGTATGGGAAGAGTGGAAAATGTTGGTGGGGTGAAAATGCGGGGTCGGTCCAATACTTTTGACCTAGTACTGTACTACCACGTACTTAGTATGATTTCAGTTGCAAGCCGCAGAAGCTTGGCAGTCAAGCGTGGCAGGGGGGATACACCGTACAGTGTACTGTACGGCTCGATAAACACATCTCTAGGTACACATTGCTACGTTGCATTTTCAAGACTATTGATCTTCAAGCATCTCTCAGCCAAGTTCTAACCTTACTATAGCAACCGCTGGCAAGAGCACGCTGCTGCAGAGACACACATAGTCCCGGCCACGCTGTAGGAGTATATGGGAATTGACCCGCGTCTCTGCTGCCTACCAATCATCGTCGTCTTCTTTTTCATCATCTGCTGACAGTTAGCCTGATTCTGTAGTTAATCTCGAGTATCAACGGCTAACTTACCACTCCCGCTAACCTTCTTCTTCCGTTGACTCAGAGCTGCAGCCAAAGCTCCTGCTAAGCCGCCTCCAGCATCAGCTCCTGCTCCGACCCCTGCTGTACTTGCACCATTGCCGTTTGCCGCCGCTACTTCTGTCCCAGGCACCGCGGCTGCGCTTCGATCTCGCTTTTCGCTGTCTTTTACCTTCCTTAAACCGCCACCGCCCTTTCCTCCCGTAGCGCGAATAGAGGAAAGCAGATCGTCTCTTCCTCCAGCCGCCTTGGGTAACGGAGCTGCAGAGCCTCCTGCTGGCGGAGGTGGAGGAGCCGGGGGACCCGAGCTTTTTTATATTATTCTATTACTAACTCTTTAGAGATTCTTTATTTGCTCTTACCTTGAGGGTAGAGGAGGAGGAGGGGGAGGAGGAGGCGCGCCACTTGATGGTAATGGCGGCGGCGGAGGAGGAGCGGGGTTGCTAGCACTCGGAGGTGGAGGTGTCGGCCGTACATTTGGCGGTAGCACCGGAGGGCCTGAATTTCGATTAGGAGGAGGTGGCGGAATGGTAGCTGGAAGAACATTGTGACTACCGGCGGG